CCTCAGCACCTGGGCCAATTTTGACCAGTGACACGTCTACCGGTACCTACCCTGGCACTCTACCATATGCTGGATCCAGTTCTTGTTGGTCAAGCCTCGAGAGAAGAACCTGAAGGACGGAGGGAGTTGGAGAAGACTGGACCTGAAGCACTCGCAGCAACTTGAAGATGGCGAGCCTCGAAGTTGGATCTGGACCGAAGCTCTTCGGATTCTTGGACGACTCAAGACTGAATCAAAGGGATGAAGCGGCGGCCAAGGAGGAAGAGTGGCCGTAATTAAGTCGACCGAGTTCGCAGTATAAGACATGTCACGATGATTTGTTGTACTCGCATGACTCGGTGTATCATGCTTTATGATAACTGTATTTTCCGAAAAAAAGTCGCTCTCCTTTGCTGCATTGTATATTCCCCCGGGGTGTTTTACGCGCTGGCACTTTTGCCCAAGTGTGCTTCGCCCGCACGTTCTTGTTATTTTGGCAAGTTGTGCTCACTTGCTGTTAAATATGTTTCGCGTTGTAATTATGTAGTCTGGCACCTTTTATGATGTTCCTCCATGAAATATACAAATTGGCAGTTGCCGGTATGTGACAACGCTGCGCTACTTTTATGTTTCGGCTGTTTGCTCTCTTGTAACTCACGCCCTGCGGGAATATATACTAGCGTTTTGCTAACTCGCTCAAGCTGCGTCTCTGTTAGCGTTATTAGCAAACTTACCCTTTTGCATTATTCGTACGAGTAATATACAATCGAGCAAACATAGTTATGGGATAGCATTTCTCGTTCGATTACGGTATTGCGTCTTATATCCATTCTGGTGCATGTTCATGCCCTGTGCACTTACTAAGTATCTATCAGAGGTGTCACACCTCGTGTCTCACTTAGTACCGGATCAAAGCGTGATAGCACTCTAGTGAGATATATCATTCAGTCTGAAGACAGCGCGAGTTATGATCAATGCTGAATACCAAAAACATGATTGCTCTTGCATGTCGCGATTGAATCAGATGAGATAACAGTTAAATTGCGTCCCCCTCTTCGAGTATCCACTCTCTATTTGCATCGTATCAATTGTATCTCATGGTTCACTACGATCGTACGTATTGACGACTCAACAATACTCAGAAGTTAAATCCTTAAGTAGGCATTAGGTAAGTATTACGGGCAACTTTGACATTCTACACGAGAAACGTTCACTCACGGACAGTGTCACTCATCAGAGTGCTTTCGTGGAGCTATTATTATGGACTGTGCAGAGGTGTCGAAGAATTGTACAGGGGTAACGCAACACGGACAGAATTACTAAATATGAACTCTACAGCACTCCGCACACAATATTCACTCCCGGGAACCACTAAAGGGCCTTCATAGAGATACTATAAAGGGTTGCATGAGAAGCATATTGAGAATCGTCCAAATTTTCTCTACCAATCACCGAGACAGCTACTTGTAGCAGCTACAACAGCTGGGGACCACTGAGGTGCCTACCTTACTGCGAGTGTGTACTTGTTCGCTAGTCTCCAGTGATGGGAGAAACTACTTCGATTCCTCACGCTCGTCCTCTTTCGACCGCTTCTGCTGCAATTCTTTTGCCGCGTGGCTCTCATACTCCTCTACCAATAAAATAACATTGTTGTTAGGCGAGTACTTTCGCACTATCTCCTCACATCTGGTACCTCGGAAGAACTTGTTCAGCGCCGGGTAGATGCGAAGTGCTAACTTAGCACTGCTAAGCCAGCCTGCCTCTTTCCTCGATAACTTCGATGTTCGCGAGGGGCATCTTTCTCCAATGACCAGTATTTGCTCAAACTACCGAAGAGCATATCGGTTCGCATGCAATAGGCCACGTAGGGATCAGGATGCGTGTATGAAAGCCACGACACCTCGCATGGGCACCACTGGGGTGCCTGCAATACAGCACTGCACTGCAGATGAGTGATCCATGTTGATCCAAATAAGTGATCTCGGATCACTCAGTACGAGTAATTCCGCCCAATACGAACTACCATGTAAACACAAATCCTCTACTTGAAAACATAATACAGAGCATAGCAAAAGTTTTAACCACAATCCCAATACCACCAGTGTTTTCCCTTCACTACTTCTGACACTACTTTCGAGTTCCCTCTTTGAGCGTCTTTACTATCGACCTACTACCACTTGCAATAGTCCATCCATCATTCTCCCAGTGCTGCAACTATACTTATCTATATCGACAGAACCACAGAACTTTGCAAAAGAGTCACCACTCAGAGACTTCGAAACTATAATGCAATGCTCAACACAATCACCAACAACCCACCAAGGTTCGAATCTCGCGTGCGAAATTTCAATTTCTTCTTCCGATTATAGAATTGCAAAAATTTGCTCCATTGCGGGGTTGCCCATTCGTAAAGCGGAAAGTTGCTCCTCTGAAATGTAGCAATTTGCTAAATAGTAGAAGGAGCAATTTATTGGTTTGCCCCTTCTTTGAGCAAAATTGCTCAAATTATTACATAGTAGCACTTCACATAGCGGCAACTTTTATATATTCTAGCAATTTTCTGAAATATAAACTAGCAAACGATATTCATTCGAGCAGTTTCTGTTATACAATACGGCAAATTTGCGTATTTGTAAAGTGAATTTTGCTACTTTGCTCCTCTGTATATCAGCCATAGCGTTCTTACACACTAGCACAACAGCAGAAGCCGCAGGGAATATACATTCCAGCTAATTGGCACTGCTATTTGCTCCTTTGCTATTTTGTAACTGAGCCGACTTGACTACTAGCTAAGTAAAAAAGCGCTCGCCTTGGGGATCGATTACACCAGCGTCGTCAAGAAAGAGGATGGTCATCTTCCCAATATAACAGTATGCCTCATCGTAGTTATTATAGTAGTCGTCGTGGTGGTCAATACGGCATGCATTCCTCTTATAAGCCGTACTATGCTTCTAGTTGGCACTCGCATAAGTGGCGACGGTCGAGGAGTCGATCGCATAGGGGTACAATGTCCACGAGATGGTCCTCAAGAGGTTACGATGATTACGGTAAGAAGAGTAAACATTACTATGACACACAGAGCTCAACAACAAGTTACTCTAGTGAGACTGCTGGTAGCAGTGTATCGAGTGATCATCCTCCAGCTAAGGGCAAGGACGATGATATTGTACACTTTGAGTGGAAGAAGGGTGACAGATTGGGTGACTCTGGTCGCTACATTTGCATGAAACATCTGGGCGATGGCACTTTCGGACGGGTCATTGGTTGTGCTGATACTCTCTACGACAATCAGATGGTAGCCGTGAAGGTCATCAGAGATGTTCAACGTTACAAGGAGTCCGCTGAGATAGAAGCTGAGATACTTGAACGGTTGAATCGTCGTATGGACAAGCTCGGCTTGACGCACACTCATACTCACATAGTGCGGTTGTATGAGACGTTCTATCATCATCAATACTACTGTCTGGCATTTGAGGTCCTCGGTTGCAGTCTGTATGATCTCATCAAAGCTAACAATTATCGAGGGCTGTTCATCACGGACGTACAGGCTCTTGCTCGTGCTTTGTTCAAGTCTTTGCAATTCTGCCACGATGAACTGCATTTGACTCACACTGATTTGAAGCCCGAAAACGTTCTTTTCATGCACGCTACGACTAAGCGCGATGGTAGTTGCTACGAATTGGAGTCGGCTGATCTACCTAGACGTTTGAGGGGCTGTGATGGTAGTTCGAGACGACGTACTAAGCCCTATCTCCGGCCCAAATGTGACAGGATGAAGGTCATCGATTTCGGAAACGGTACTTTCCGTGATGACCATCATAGCTCGGTCGTCAACACTCGACAATACCGCAGTCCCGAAGTTATCCTCGGACACGGTTGGAGTGAAGTTTCCGATATGTGGAGTGTCGGGTGTATTCTGATGGAGGCATATAGTGGCGAACTACTCTTCCCGACACATGACAATCTTGAGCATCTTCACATGATGGAAGTAAGCTCGGTGTGGTTCTTGCTACGCCTTATGATGATTGTTGTTCTTTTCAGAGAGTACTGGACCGGAGATTCAGCTCGAGTTACCTCGGCCGTTCTAATTCCGAGTCTAAGGCGAAGTTGTTAACGCTAGATCGACATTCTCAATGGACTTTGCATGGCATCCACGACCACAAGCATTTGCAGAATATCCAAGACTGTCGTCCTCTTCGACGTATGGTAGCTCCTGGTCACGAGCTCCTGGCTGATCTCGTGGAGTGGTGCCTTGAAGTAGACCCGTCACGAAGAATCACGGCTAGTGAGGCACTCGACCATGAATTTATGCGTATCGACTTCACCCACAATGAGTAGTCGCCAATCTTGGTATTACCGAATGAGCCGCCTTGTACTGATATTTGCTGCGGGCGCTATGGCATCAAGGATTAAACCATCTCATTGTGATGATAGCGTAGCTTGTATGATTGTAATATTCCTCTGTACTACTGCTCATCCTCCCTCACTACTACTAAACCCGATAGTTATACCGGATATTCACTCGTAGTACTTGTGCAGTAAGTTAACGTGGAGTAAGCGGGAGAAGCGACTCAGCCCAACGTGGTTCACCAATGGCATGGCAACGTGTTAAAAAATCGTTTTCGAATTCCCTTGTGGGTGAGTCACTTGCCTGGCGAGGGAAAAGCGACTCGATCCAGGGAAAGTCCGTTACGCAATTTGATCGTCTGACATTAGTGCCTTCTATTTGGAAGGGCTTCATCTCGGAAGTTAATATGAAATCACTCGGTCGAAAGCCGCGTTCGACCAAGCTCGTCTTTAAGGAGCACTCCTTTTCTCAAGCAAATCCGCGAATTTTGCATTTCACATGACTCATTTGTGTTTCAGGCTGAAACTTAGACAAAGCTTAGGTATAGTCATGAACCACTAGTCACACTGAAGTGAAACGATCATATTTGTCACCGTTACTCGTATGTGATAACAGGTGACAGATTCGCACCTCTCAACCGTGCAAGTATGTGCAAGTTGGCTGAATCCAACAATTTTTAACCTCAAATTCCAATGGGATAGATCCGTCTCAAGAACCGTAGGGCTATTCAATTCCTCGCGTTCTCTCAAGTACTGTTGGAGGAACAAAACATCTTAATACGGGGGACCAACTATATAACTCAACATTTGAACGCTACAAATAGGCTTGAAGTCCGTTCAGCCAACGGTGATTGTGTTTAGTATGACGCAGACACGCCATGACGAGGGTCACTCTATACTTGAATGAAACTCTCTTACCGATTCGTACGCAAACCAATAAAGGGATATGCACGACAGGAACTATGAATGCATTGGACTCAGAGCTCATGTGGTTATTCGTCAGGAGAGCTACTCGAACAGTTGTTCTCACGAAGTATCGCTATAGCTTTGTCAGCCGCGTCCTTCGTCAACCCTATCACGGGGTCTGTCCGTACCTTATAGGAGGACGATGAACATACGGACCAGACAAGGAGAACCCACAAAGTGTTGCTTGAAGACCTCCGCAATAAGGCTCGTTTCATTGACAACGAGATCGGCATCGTCGATGACCACCCAACCATCGCTGACTAACTCCGAATTAGCTCCGACGAATTCCATGATGAGATCCATCCGGTTCTTTACGTCCCGCTTGATGTCAGCAGCGATCCATCTGACACAGCAATCTGGCAACAACCCGGGTAATCGACGTTTCTAGTCACCGTTTGAATGGTGGAATGCCGTAACGCATAAGCCTATCTTGCAACCTCTGTCGAGTGCTAGGGAAGAACCGCCAACTCGATGATAGGACTATAGAAGCACCTGATGCGACAGATGAATACACCTTGATTGAGTCTAAGCTCCTCACCAGTGATGCGAACTATTCTACTGAGCTGAAGCATACAGGACTCCTTCAGGCATTCCATCGCTTCGTTATCTTGTGGGGCATCCTGACCTAACCTGATAGTCAAATGTTAAACAAAGACCAGAGGCGCGCGTGCATGGTCTCACAAGGGAAAGGGATGTAGAACTCCATCAACATCCAAAAAAATGACACGATTAAGCTGGGGCATCGCACGTTTTGCCTCCACTCGACCGTGATGGAAGTTGATGGAAAAAATCAATTAACTGAAGGACGCAACTTTAGTGACTGATCGGGACAAGATCACAACTAATGAGATCAGCTTGTGAGATGACACTGCGAACTGCGGTTGGCTAGCGCTATTCGGTGCGTTCTATCTAAGGCTTTTTGAGCGAGCGGACACCTCTCACCTCAGCGGAAAAACCTGTATATGGGCTACTACATGAGTAACATGTTACACGTGTCGATGACCATCAGAACATGACTGGGGTAATTTAGGGGAATATATTATCGGTTCTTGTTTACTTCTACCATGAGTAGTATAGGAATTTCCACAATGTAGTGGGAGAATTGCCGAACTCGGCCAAGGAAACTAAACGTACATTCCAACTCTTCCTCTCCTAGACAGATTCGAAGCTTAGGTACACTCAGCCTTCTCCGATGGAACTCCCACAACACAACACCAGCACAATTCCGAAGATCTTCGACGATGACGAATATGAAGAAAATTTTGAGATGAACGATTCGTATTTAATATGAGACATAATTGTACTTCTACACGTATCAGTACTGCCATCGTATTCGAAATTATAACAAATAGCCGTACGAGGCCCCACGACTACCGTAGTGAAGCTGCTACAAAGCGACGGCTCGCACAAATGCGTCTGGAACTGCATAATGAACGGGAAGAGTGTCGCGACCCCAACCCGTGACTTGACAGAATGTGCACAGACTTGCAGCTATGAAACTGACTGTAGTAAGGCGTAGCAGTAGAGGTTTTTTTCATATATAGCGAGTCTAGTCTCGTGAAGGCATCAGAGGCTCTCTATCCCCGCCTGTGTGACGACCTTCATCTTCTGCTTGGAGTTTCTCCGTCTCCTCAACCACCGGCTTGTGCTTCGCTCCGCTCAAGCTTCTTGCCCGCTTTTTGAGCTCATAGATAGGCGGGTCCGGGATATCCCCATTCTGCAATGCAATGCTCTTTGGCCTCGCATAACGCGATGACTCAATCTCTCTAGTATCCTCAGTGCTGTTGTTGTTGTTGTTAAATACAAAAGCTCCTTCCACTCGGAACTGATCTTGATTCCGATACTCCTGTGATGCATCGATCGTTATAGCCGGCAGCACTTTCAAAAGATTGCTCTTCAGCTTTTCGCCAATTCCACCACACCAGTGACCACAGCTTCCTCTCCTCGTCCTTGTCGTCGTCGTCGTCGTTGTCGTCGACTGCGTCGGTGCACGAGGCTTCTGCTCCTCCACAAAGGCGTCATCCACCGGTAGAGGCCCTTCTTCAGGGATCATCCCCAACCTGAAGAACACAATGAACGAGAGCGCGCCATGCTGCGACTCACTGCATTGGATGTTGGTGTCGATCTGAAGAGAGGTCCCCTCTACCCGGCTTGGTCATACAAAGTTGATTAAATTGTCAGTCTGTGAGATGGAGGTACCGAGATTTGAACCCGGGATCTCACGATGGTCAAACAAAACACACAACCGTTGCAAGCAATTACGTGACTGAGATGATGGTGACAATGTACTACTGACCTACTCAGAAGCTAGATATCGATTATGACTAGTCGGCAACGATAGGAGGTTCCCAATTAAATGAAAGAGACCATGTGGTACGTTCGAAAAGATTCGAATACGAAAGTTACAAAACCTGTCCAGCAGGCCTTAAACGACCAACCACGTTGATACAGAATCGTCACCCATCGCGAAACCACTCATAATGCTGTCGTGGTCGCGTCAGTAGACTTTTGCAATGAACTGTACTGACCGAAATCTTGCGAAATACAAGAATCTTGCGCTGGTGGGCGTCCATCGTGAATCGCCATTTCAATATCACTCATATCAGTTTCTTTAGGAGTGCTCAGCTCAGACGACCGCGCGCTCGTACTCGGCAAGTCCTTAGACATTCCGCGTCGCCGCAGTCGTTCACGCCTCGCTCTCGCACGATGACACCACCACCGTTTGATTCGAATGTATGGGGGGTCCGGAAAGTTCACTTCCACATCAACACCTTCCCCAAGAGTTGCATCCAAAGTCAACGTAATTTGCCTTCCGTTATCACACCCCGGGTCCTCCCTTCGCGGCGACTCGCCCCTAGGAGTGAATATGAAACTCCCTGGCATCTGCAATTCATCGTCACTTCGAACATCGCGGCAAGCATCGATCGAAACCGCGCTCATGATTTGCCTCATTGAATTCTGCCCGGCCACAGGATCAGTTTCAGTCTCCAGCCGAGAACCAAGAGAGGGTAATGCTGGTGGATCCAACACGGACACATCTTCACCAACCCTTCTCGGGTCGCTCTCATCCTCCACACAAGCGACATCAACCGCTGGTGCTGGCGGTAGACTAGTAGTGCTACTATGAACGTGACCCTTCCTAGGTGATAGTAAGAATACGCCGAAGAACAGCACTGCTGCGGCCACAGCGAACAAAGCCAAGCTCCACGCTTCCATCTGTTGGAACTCCTTAAACACTATGCCTCCAGAAATCATAGATGCGAATGTCCAACACACTTGTGTCAGCGGTACCACAAATGCCCCCGGGAAAATTCGTAGGGCTCGATTCAAATGAATCACCCAAAACACTGCAGCAAACACCCATAGAAACAAAACCAGGAATGTCCGAGGCTGATAGAGTTCCGAAGGCTCCCCTTCAACGATGCCAGCCGCGAGCACAACTGCCAAGACTTTTCCAGCAACAACCGATTGACTGCCGAATGATGCCGCTACAGTACTGTATAGGAGTGGCAGGAGGAAGCGGGTCTTACGCCCTTGTGAGCGAGGTAGAGAGAGCTCCCATTGAAGTCGATTGACCTTCGGAGAGTTCCGAGGCCAGAGGACAAACACGCCAGTACGCAGCCAAAATATGAATGCGAATAGCGAGCAGATTCCAAGCAGACTGCAGAGAAAATACAAATGAGTAAAAGAGAAATAATAGTCGTGAAATATCTCATCAACAGAATTGGGATTTTCCGTTTCGAGAGATGCAACTACGAGCAGTACTATGGCTATGATAATGATGACAGTGCCCGTAGTGTTACTAATATTAAAATTTTCACCAAGTAGGAACCTTGCAAATAGAAGATTGGATACAAACTGTACCGCTGAGACTCCAGCTAACAGAGATTGCGGCGCAAGTGCAAAGGAGCTGAAGGTGAGGACCGAGCCAATACAGAAGAGCAAGAGACCGATCTTCAACCATGGGCCGAAACCACTGCGAACTGATGCATGGTATTTCATAAGGACTGTACCGAGATTGATAGTCACAGCACCGGCGATGTTGATGCATATACCGAGAGCGAATCCCCATGCTGTGGTCATTAAAAAGGATAGAAACGTAGCCCTACATTAAATGGTAGTGGTCTTGTGACCAGCACTAACTCTACTCCAACTAGTGGTCCTGTGACCAGCACTAACTCTACTCCAACTAGTGGTCCTGTGACCAGCACTATCCCTACTCCAACTAGTGGTCCTGTGACCAGCACTATCCCTACTCCAACTAGTGGTCCTGTGACCAGCACTACCTCTACTCCAACTAGTGGTCCTGTGACCAGCACTATCCCTACTCCAACTAGTGGTCCTGTGACCAGCACTATCCCTACTCCAACTAGTGGTCCTGTGACCAGCACTATTCCTACTCCAACTAGTGGTCCTGTGACCAGCACTATCCCTACTCCAACTAGTGGTCCTGTGACCAGCACTACCTCTACTCCAACTAGTGGTCCTGTGACCAGCACTATCCCTACTCCAACTAGTGGTCCTGTGACCAGCACTACCTCTACTCCAACTAGTGGTCCTGTGACCAGCACTATCCCTACTCCAACTAGTGGTCCTGTGACCAGCACTACCTCTACTCCAACTAGTGGTCCTGTGACCAGCACTATCCCTACTCCAACTAGTGGTCCTGTGACCAGCACTATTCCTGTAATATGACTTTTCGTGAGCACATACTGAATTTTGAATACTTCACAATGCTCCCTTGAATTTCTACCTCTTGAATCGCGTCCAAGTTATCACCAACCCCTTGATACTACCTCGAGATCGTCCTGCCACCGCCCCCCCCCCCTCAGCATCAGCATATGAACTTTCCAATAATCAATGCAATACCTACCCACCTCCATAGTAATACTGTCACAGACCGTCACCCCATTGAGGACGACTAAACATCACTTACAAAATCGCCAGAATGGAAATTTCACAACATCATCGAACAGATGTCGAACAGAACGAGCCGTACTGCTCTCCTCAGCTTCCTTCACTAAGCATCTCGCTCACCTAGTGTCGCCCCACAAGCCGTAACGTCTTCCTCCGACACGAATCGATAACAGTTTCTACGCCTGCTAAACTACCACTTGTTTGAAGCCTCTCCCAGTCGAACACACTGGAGCGTTCACATTGCCTATAACTCAAAACTATCTCATCAACTTGGCCTTGGATTCAAGTTTTGCTGGTTCCCCTTTCATATTATCTGAATCACCGACTATCTACACAATGCCGAGCCTGGGATTCGAACCCGGGACCTATCCCGCGCTATAAGAACGAGCCCGACAGATAGTCCATCAACTTCCAGAGCTAAGTTCACATGACATGTAGCAAGCTTCGTCATTTCGCCGAGAAGCCCAGTGCTCGGAGCAACGCAACGTAGGTGAGTATGTTTAAAAATGTCTTTATGGTGGACCCGTCGAGAATCCGATGCCACGATTCGAACCTCTGTCGGCCATCAATCCAATGCGAGTACTATCAGGTACACCGGGAAAACCTCCATAGAAAGAGCTCGACTATGGAGTCCGGCAAATCAGTGTCAAATCCGGTCATTTAGCTAGAAAGTATCATACAGACATGTCCAAGGTATGTGGATCTCACAAAATTGGACGAAATCATTCGAAATTTGGACGTTCGAGTTGCCTCTCTTTGTCCTCAACTTGAGAATCTCAACCGATGATCGTCCCTGAGGCTCATGTATGATCGTGATAATTCAACGCTGTTCGGCAAACCATCATCTCTGCACTCCAGGAGCCGACTGAAATGCTCTGATTTCTGTGAGTCCATCCTGCCCTATGAAAGTGCCATTAATCAGCCTACCCAGCATTTCCTGAAGATGTTTGCGCCGAGCGGGACTGCGTCACCAAGCCACTATGTTGCTGAGTTCATAGTACTCCCCAAAAACCCAGAATCATCCATCGAGAGAATTGATAGCACGCAAGCCGCTTGCGGCAAGCGATCTTGAGCGGGATCGTATCGGTGATACTCATAGCGTGATGGTAGTAGGCCTACAACTAACGAGCTAATTTGTCAGGAAGATGACGGACAACTTAGACATTTTTGTTCCGATTCCAGTCTTTCTAGCCACGACTATGTCTTACGAATTCACTCTAACACCAGTCAAATAGTTTTTGTTTCAATGAGCTGAATAGTATGTGCGAGAGGAAGCCATTGTCGGCTCATTGCTCATCGATAGTTCAACCTTCATGGAGCACTTCTCAACGATATGAGAAGGTTCAGCAATCTTCTCTTGTGATGAAACGTCAGCGTTTATCGACTCCGCCAGGTCCTTGAGGAGCCGGTAGTGCTCCACCCTGAAAAGCCCTATACATCGCCACCATATGGCAATAACCCACCACAGCTCGAGCCAGACCTTGGGAGTCATGAGCTCCTGTTGCGGGGCTACAAGCTCCCTAGCCCATTTCAAGATGTTGAGATGATTCTGGGCGGTCTCCTCCGCGGTTAGAAGATCCGTCATGACCTTTTCACAATGGAACTGCGACATACGAAAGTCCCTTGGATACCGAGCCCAATCGGAGCTCACTGTCAGCTTTTGCATCGCATGGCTATGAACCGTCCGTAATCGTGTGTCAACAGAAACGCCGCTTTCCCTTTCAAGCTGGGATGCTAGACTGTCTATCTCATGCAGCAGAGATAGAAGGAATTCCCTGAGATGGACGTTAGTGCACTGTCTTGGTCCCATGAATGGAAGTCCAAACTTGGTATCCAAACGAGGTTCACTTTTGTTCGAGTCTATTGAAACTGCCTCTTGGTAGGCCGCGACTGCAAGAGGAACTCTTCAACAGGAATAACAGGCGTCCGTGTGGCTACCGAGCGGTTGTAAGCGAGCTTGATCGAGATTGATGGGATATTGCTCTTCCTTCGCAATGTTACTGACCGGGATCTCGAGCTGACCGCTTGGATATGATCTGGCGACAGCCACACAGGCCGTTCACCTTCCTGTCCCACCAAGCCGCGGGGAGTTCCTCCACCCCGTCTCGAAGGGGGGCGAGATGGCACACTCCTGTGTCCGTGCCAGGTCTCTCATTGATTGGGACTCGCACGTGGCGCTGCCGAATGATCATACTAGACTCTCTCATGTGTCTCAATAACTCCTCACCTAAGAATTGGCCAGCCGTGAGACAGGAAGAAGAATTACTCATAATACTCCTCGAGTGTTGATCTGGGTCACCAAGCTTCCCCACTTCATGAAGGCGGTAGTCACACTCTTTACAGAGCCTCGCTTCATCATTCACGCACCATAATGTGGAACAGTTGGTCTCGCAAATGTCACAAGGAAGTCCTTGCAGGAGAGCTGGCGGTGGCCGTCCTAAAGCGACGCCCATCGAACCAGAACCAAGCAGAGGAAGATGGTTTACCATCGAAAGGGCTTGCCGCACAAGATCCCGCTTCCCCCGAGGATGCGACCCGAATCTGAAAGCGTCCGCCGACGCAAACCTACGTGTCGCTCATACTCGTGCAATATAGATGGGGAGGAGTTGGGACTGAGCATCTCTGATGAGGTACTGGTGAGAGAAGACCCAGGGGCACAGAAGAGGATGGACATCCAGCACGAGCTGTTCCTCATCTCTCGACATCAAGTACGCATCGTACGGAGCGATTACACTAGCCGGTGGCGGGCAAGACTCCCCCGAAACCTAGTGAATTCGATCAGACAACTACTAATTGGCTGCTTTGGCTGACCTCAGTCTGACCAAGACGGACTTTGCATAGGACAACCTCGAAGAAATCGACGCCCGACCGTCTGATGAGGTCTCGGGGAGCTGGCAGCTTGCGATTCCCAAGATGGATTCGGAAGCTGCGAACCTTGAAGAGGTAAGTAAATGTGTCCTGGAAGTACTGTTGACGCTCAACTCCGACGAATCCGTGCTGAGCCACGCGTCGGATTGGCATCCTGGGTGGTAGCTCCGTCGCTTCGACCGATGCAACGAACGAGCTTTCGCGGGCATCAGAGTCGATCCCCGTGAGAGATGCATCAAATGCGCGATTGAGGTCGGGATGCTCTACGGCCCATAGGCTGTTCAAGCCCACTCTGAATACCAGTTCACACGTTCCTACAGACGCTGAATGTTCGATTGGTAGGGCCTTACTTAGAACTAGCTCGATAGATGCATTGAACAGCCCATTCAACAGCTCCCCACTCGTGAGGATTCTCATTGCGCCTGACTGGGCGGCAAGTGGATGATACGTATCCCATATCAGATGGCTGCACGTCGGTGAGGCCGCTAGGGTCCTGTCGAGTTGACGATTCGATCCTGGCGATATCGGTCATTCACTGTGGAGAAATACCCGTACAGTAAAAACCTGCCAGGGTCCAATGGAGAGAGACTCCACCCTTGAGGACATAGGAAGCGCATGACTACAGCTGGCTTCCCAGCGTTATTACAATTGCATAGACCTACATCTTTGTTAATACAATCAATCTTCCCGGCTGGGGCAGCTGTGCCACCACAAGATACACCTCAGCGCAATCGACCGCATTCCATGGCGTATGAAGATCACATTCGCCGACGATCAATTTCGTCGACACGTCCAAAGTAACTCCAATATGGACAGTGCTGCCAGGAAAGCCAATTTCCCTCTGGGGCAGATATGCCATTTCGGGACTGATGCTCATCAACAATGGCACACTGCCACTGTCTTAGCAAAAATAGTACGTCCCATTATATTACCGAGATGGCATATCTGCCCCAAGCAGAATTCACCTCACAACGGAACTGAGTGTCCCGTTTTGTCGATATAAGGCCTACTCACGACATTCATCCTCCTGTGTCGTGCGTCTGTGAAATTGTCCCTGCCAAAGTACATCCAGAGGTCGCATCGCTGCCCCAAGCGGAGTAATTAATCGTAACAAACTGAGTCCAGAGACGGCATAGCCGCCCCAAACTGAGCAATTGGTCGTACCAAACTGGATTTATAGGTGGCATAGCCGCCCCAATGGAAGAAATTGACCGTACTCAACTGGATCCAGAGGTGGCATAACTGCCCCAGGCAGCGAGGACCGGAGAAGATATAACCGAGTTACTCAGCCTGAGTAAGCGGCAACGAGGCAGTTCGGAGTTCAATTGCGCTTCCTGCATGCAGTGATCTTGAAGATACGTGTCTATGGCATGATCAGCACATAGTCACCATTTTGTTATAGTCTCTCCACCAAACAACTGCGAACACAGAGCAGTGTATGCGATTGAATCGGCATCGGGCAAAGAGAGCACTGAGAGGGTAAAGTTACAGCGGAAATGCCGACCGCGGGTAGATAAGTATTCATCATCATAATGGTGTGGCATGCAATGTACTAGTACACCTCTAAGTTGATCTGATCGTCATCACGAGGAATGGTATAGAGTTAATGATGATAATCATGGTAATGTGATGGGCGAATTAGAAACGAAAATAAAGATATATCACTATGATCGAAAGTTGAGATGCTGGTCAGTGGCTGAAGTTGACTGAACATCTAGGAAGTGCTGTCGATAACTAGCAGGAGACTCGAGCGGAGGGCTAGCAGGGTTACCCAAGACGACTGCCCCACTTGACACGATAGGCAGGCTGGATCTCAGGGCCAGTGACTGATTTGTATGATCGCATGAGAAGTAACGACGATGCTCAGCTTACTGGGGGGCCCCAAAGAAAGTATATCATAGTGATCATGGTCGCTACTAAGGCTAATGCGAGCTTGAGGAAGAGCTGACAACGCGCCCTATATCGAACATCGCTGTTGTCTTCCTCGGGCGGGTTACTGCTGTTCGAGACAATACTGGACTGGGCCAAGTGCTCCTCGGCCAGTAACTTACACTGGACTTCGCTATCACTTTGATGACTTAGTGAGGCACCTGAGGGGATGTACTGACAGGTAGAAGTGAGTCTGCTCGATGGTCGATGGACCAGTAGTCGTAGAGTATACTCATGCCATAGCCGAATCAGCACCGCCGGTGCATATATTGCTCCGAGCGCAATGTGAGCCGAAATCCATCGAGACGCCCGTGTATATTTGACGCGATGAACCAGAATCGCAAATTTACCATAAGGCCTCCTCAACCGCGATACGTCGTCCAACGGAAAGGCTTTATATACTTCACCAGAGAGAGCCTGCAAACGGATGACTCGTGTATAGAAGAAACACACGAGTTCTCATCAAGGCACCTTACCTGTTGCGGTTGACTGGACTCCTCTTGTAACAGAGCGCTAGAGAGCGAGGTGTTGGTAGACAGAGCTGGCCGCATCGAGAACGGTTCGCTAGACATGACGAGCGCCTAGGATCAGGTCGACCGAATACTAGTACAGCTCCCTCCCAGACGAATTGAACATAATAACTCCACGGTGAGGATAAAGTATTCAAAAGAGGGAAGACAGATATGGTATAGCAATACTCCAGGAGCTGTAATATCATTTATTGTGTGATCTCGAGGGCGGTGGACCGGGTCCATTAGCAAGTCGATGCTTCCTTGACTGGCTCGAGTCCCTAGGCGAGACCGGCATCCTCGGAGCAATGCTAGTGTTCGCAGGGGCGTACTTCCCAAACAGCGCTCGAGCCACTTCCTCTCTCGATACAATATGCTCACCACCAAAGTACTTAGGCTTCCTCGAGAACGGATGTAGAACCACTGAGCTGAGAGCTTGATGAAAGAACCTACTGCCCCATTCATCGAGACAATCTCGCCAAGTCCACAGCCTCCTCTTCCGGACATAGTGACGAACCTTCAGAGACACGTCCTTGAGAGTCATCCTCTTACTCTTATATGAGAACAGAGCGTTGATGTCACCGAATCTAATGTACTTGAAGAAAATGAGCTCTGCCGGTTTATCATTTTTGCTGTCTTCTTTGGTCTTGAATCGATCGGACAAGGACATGTCCTCTCCAGTTGGGTCCAAAAAAATGAAGGCATAGACCTCCTCAAACATCTGTTGAGTTGAATTGACCACAATAGGCGCCAAATTTACTGTAACCGCATCGTATATGTGCCATCTCTGACCATTGTGCTGCATGATCCGATCCTGCCCTCGGAACTGCAGCAGACTAGTGCCTCTCGAATGAGCCCCTCGGATGATCTGCATACCCTCATTTCCAGTCACAGTGATGTCTCGGAGCTCGAACGAGAACATCATAGGATGACCCGGATCAGAGTGAGCGAATACGTGAGTGCCTGCAGCCTCGTCCAACTTGAGCTTCAAGAATACACTATCGGCGTGAGCAAGATTCATTGTGAGCTCACCAACGGAATACTCGATCACCAACTTGGACCCCGATGGAGAACCATCACCAAAGTCCTCTGATACCACATCTGAGATCTCCGACCGGAGCCTTTTCAGCTCGCCAGGCGATATTCGCTCAGTGAGTGTCACTGGCGCATCAGAAGGCTCATTCGACGGCGGGACACTGCGAGAGATAAGCTCATCGTCACCAGTGTCAGCGTCATCATCTTCATGAGTACCAGGACGGTATAGCAAACATTCCGTGATGACCGAAACAACCTGGTGGAAGGAGAGATCATCAGCCGCTAAGAATATCCGATCAACATAAGCTTGCACACTGGAGTCGCCAACAGGCAGGATGTCTGCCGTACCACGCAGGGTAAACTTAGACAACTCCGTGACAGACGTAAGAGTGTCACCATACGAGCCACTCCAAGCAACACCATACGGCTTAGTAGAACCCACAAGACCACGTAGACCATCCAGAGTAAGCGCCAACGTAACCCTAAGATTGCTATTGCTGTCGACCACGGTAGTACTGGTACGATGAGCACGGACCTCGGCAATAGCCTCACCAATACAAAGCACCAGCTGAGCCCCATTAGGGAGCTTGCCAGCAATAGAGTCATCTTCTCTCTCGTTGATGTCCAAGTCGTCGTCAAAGCCAAGCTCATCGTTAGTTATGATAGCCTTCGCAATTTGCTTCCAAGGATATGCACCAAGACGAATCTCCTCGATACTAGCAGCCGCCACCGAGAGGTTGAATGGTGGTAGAGGTGGCAAGGGAGTATCATCCGTATGTTGCCGAATCCACCAAGTCCAGCCCTCTCCAGGGCGATAGTCTTCCTCATAAACAGCATGACCAGCCAACAGTCCACAACCACACTTGAACTCCTCACCACACGGGGTACTCGGTGTTGTGGATAGAGTAGAGGTGTCCTCGTGCTCAATCGTCGCCGCCTTGCCATCAGCAGCCGCAGCGTAATGACAGTTAAGCTGAACATCGCTGACTCTGAGGACCGCTGAAGCACTTCGACCAACGAGCATCACTGCGCTCCAGGCCTTCTCAATGCGGACATGCAGGGGCTCTTCTTCCACATCATCTTCATCTTGGCCGTCACCAGTACCCTCGTCCCGACTTAGCGCAGCCTCAGGACGACGAGCCAAAGCCTCGGCTAGACGCATCTTATCATGATACTTGAGGCCTTCGACAAAGCGCGCCCTCCACCTGTTCATCATAGTAAAGAACTGATCCACATTCAGAAGGGTCATTCGCATACAACGTTGTATGACCGGCGACCAGGATATGCGGGTACCATGAACACCCAAGTAGAGCAAGGCGACTTCGTGAGGATCATCCGAGACTCGGCATCGACCCGCCCCGAAGGTCGGGACCAGATTCGAGTGCAACGTCAAAGTGATATCCTCTATCTCAACAAAGGGTGCGACGTTACGCAGAGGGTAGGGGTTGTCCCGAGGCGTACAAAAGGCGCAGTGTCGTTCAAAAGCCGGTGTAAGGCGATGAGGTCGGACCACTTCAAAGCCGATAACTCCATTACGGATAGAGCCAACAATGCTTCCTGTGGCACATGAGGAATCAGTAGCAAGACTGATCTCTGAGGCACCACAGCGCCAAGCACCGCACTTGCAGGTGATCTCCGATAGTAAAATGTTGAAGGCCACCCTGAGGTTGCCGAAAATGGCACTTGGTGACACGCCGGTGACACTAGTCGTTCTCAAACGTCGATGCATCGTACGAGAGAGAGAACGCTTCTTCTTCTTCCCCGACTGGTTCAGCGACACCCGAACGTTCTGGCCATTGATCTGATAGAAGTCAGCCGGCGAACCGATAAGCTGGAGCACCATAGGGATGTGGAATTCGGGCACGACACACAGGCTGAGCCGTTGGTTTCCTGTTGATGCTGAATCCCGAAACTCGGCCGACCAAGAGATGCACACCGGAGGGTCCACAGTATCCCGAATGGCATCAGGGGAGCTCGGCAGATTGTGCACCAACAAGCGGAGTTGAACCGAGTTCACATGAGAAATTGAAGAACCAGCTCCCCATCTCATAGTAGGGTTGGTGAATGCAGCATCAAACTGGGCGTACACGGGCTTGTCCAGAATGCCCTCACCCATAGAGTACACCGCAGCATTCTCGATGAGGCCGGGCTTGAGGTCCTTCAAATACTTGAGCCCTTTCATAAAGGCATTTAGTTTGCCGATCAGGACCGAGTCGATATCCCACGAGTGAGCCTCGCTACCCTTACTAGAAGTGCTGCTAGACGAGGCTCCTTGCTCGAGACACCAAGGCTCTGTGAGCCAATGGGCCAGGATAGGATCTTGCGTGGGACCAAGAGCTGGCAAGACCAAGGCTGGTGACCCCGTAGCACCGTGGGTGTTGAAGACCAAGCGAGCCGAGATGGGGTCAGCCGTAAGGAGCTGTAGCGGCTCTAGCCCACGGACTGCCCAAGTGAAGCACATCCCAGAGAGGAACTCGACCGAGAGTACCATCCTCAAGGGCTCCGGTATGGGCCCTGGATCGGGCTCCTCCAACGGCGTCAACACCGGCATAGTGCCATCACTACCACTCCGAGAGGCTCTCTTGGGCGAGGGCGGATGTAACCCCAGCGCTGATGCTAACTCGTACTCAACCAACAAGTCCTCCAGAAGATGCTGCAGCTCCCCAAGACGACATGAAACCGACAAGGCGTTCTCAAAGGCTGCAATCTCCGGGCTGACCGATTCCGTGCCCAATACCACAACAGCCCGCGTGCCTTGATCCAGCAAAGCAAAGTGAGCTTCTGGTAGACAGGCCGTGATGACTTTAGGAAGCATCTGGACAATCACTGCCGTAAGGGTGCACTCCATCTCCTTAGTGTCCTCCAAATAGGTAAAATGTATCGCCTCTGAGGAGAGGCAAATACCCGATTTCTCCAAAGGCTCGGCCTCGTGAACATCATCATCATCGAAACTGAATCGTCGCTTTCGACCCGTTGACGGATTGCCCAATAGAAACCTCATAGCCCCACAGAGGTCCACAGCCAAGTCCTTCAGCGGCCCTTTAGGTGGACCAGTACTCGTGAATTCACGGTCAAAGGCGTGAAAGGCCTCTACCGCACCAGCAGCTAATAGCGCCGCTTCCCTCACGCTGCATTCAGCCGTCAAAGCCAGCTTCCTATTGCGGTCCTTAGACTTACGGACCCACTCAGGCAAATGGGTTACCCACAAACGGAGGGTTCGAAGGACCCTAGGAGGCTCCCCTTCGTATCGGGGCGCTGGCCGGCACCAGTCTCTGTTGACCTTTATGTCATCCAAGGGGTCGTTGAGGTCACTCCTATGACACGACACTTTCACGTGGATGTCATTCCGCATGTACAGACACCCAGCAATAGAAGCCCGACACACCGCAACGTGCATGCTGTCCTTGGTGGGGCCCATGGCTAACTCCAAACTGCCCATCTTGAGTGGAGGGATACCAGGGATAGGAAAATCAGCAACCACGTTTGTGCCCACAAAGAGCATCGACTTGAACTGAGGCGGGTCCAAGAACACTCGAGTGCCCGTATCCACGACCTCAGGGAATCTATCAATATCATGTACAGCAGCTTCAATGAGATAGTTGATGCACCCGAAGAGAGCGTCATCAAATTTAGTGACAACATCGCTGAACAGAACCGCTATAGGTAGGGCCCCACGCTCTGGCCACTGGGCAGAGGCGTTCTTGACAAAATCTGGCACGACAGGGAAGGGCCCCAAGGGCCTCGACAGCTGAGGAAACACAGATAGAGGCACCCAAACGTCGATCCCCTTAGCCGTGATGAGCTTTTGATCAACATTATCAAGCCCGTACAGGACGGCGTTGTCCACATGTACGACGAACTTCCACAGTTGGTCGTCGAACATGAGGAAGCCGTTCTCTGCCACGAGACGCTGACCAGCTTCAATTTGAATTTCCACCGACCGTGCACGCAAGCGCACCCTTATTGGGTCCGGAACATACCGGTACGGTACTGCCTCCTTGGTCGGGGCTCTACGGCAGAGTTCCCATGCATAGTACTGCTTCACCAACTCGTTGCGGCGTACGATTTTCCACGGCTTTCTGATGGACTTGAAGACGTCAGTCATATGGTCGATCGCCTTGAACCAAGCCACGAAACTCTCCGGACCAATAAGGCCCCACAGCCGGTCCATATCCACGTCAATGTAAATACCACGCCCATGCACTTCAACATAATGCTCTTCGGCGGCCGGGTCCAGCCTGAGTGCTGTTTTCCGCACACCTTCCAAGTCGATATCGTCCAGCCTCAAGGAGGGTATTTTGATATCATAATCGGGCCAACTACCCTCTGAATGCAGCACACCTGTGAGTCTCTCCCCCAGCAGTTCACAGCGACCAACGGCGAGGTCCGACACGCTCACGACCAAGGAGCCCAAAGCGAAGCCACAGTTCACCGCTGGCATGCTAGGGTCTATAACATCCTTCTCGGGATCATCACCAGAGACTTCGGGATCGGGCTTCAACATGAGATGGCCGAAAACCAATAGGGTTTCCCGGTACAGCAGAACTGGTATTTCCACGCGGAGGGCCTCGGCGACAATCTGAACCTCCGGCGTTGGCCCACTATAGTTGAGATTCACTGAGCAATCGGGGAGCCGTAGGACCTCCCATCGGTTGGGCTCTATACTAGACTGACCGTCCAGTTGAATCAACCTCCATTTCAGTTGAGACACGGGGCCGGCCTTGGCGAGATATAGCTTCTCTATAACAACCCAATACCGCACTCGGCTGAGGTCTACGCCCAAATGATGACCTGGCAATGTGAACTTCACCTTAACTATGCCGATATTGATGAAACAGCTCTTGTAAAGGAGCTCCTTCCACCAGGAACTCTTGCCAGAATTCGCCGGCCCTGCTCCCTCTCTTCGTGGACTTTTACCGTCCTTGTTGGCAATCTCGAGAATGTCCACATTGACGTCAATCGAGGGAATGACCAAACCGAAGTGCCAAAAACTGATACTAAGCGGGCCGACCTTGGCCCAGATCCTCGTATTCTCATCCGCAGTGCTGATCTCCACCTCCGCTCCGCCTCCCGATGGCCGCTTTAATGACAAGTCACTTAGACTCCGCCTCAGTACGATTTTCATCACAATTTCCAAAAGCCAGTACACGGCCGATGGGAAAACGAAGGCTATGAGAGTAACGCACACAGCGGCAGTTAGAATTGCCTTCAGTGGTAGTAGTATGCAGTAGGAGAGACCCCAAAGGGCCGCATTGGAGAATATTGACGTCAGAATATTTGTCAAGACTTAAAATTGAAAGTAATTATACACCAACGCATTATGGAAAGCACTGAACTCAAGCCGCCAAGGATAATGAAATGGAGACAATATTGATAAGGAGAAATTGAGGTCCCTTGGCACTACCGTGATGGTAGCATGAAAAGACCAACAGACCAAGTGAATGTTAACCATAATTCTCCCTGGCTATACAAACGCTATCTATATCTCACTAGCTTTCACCTTTATATTAAACCTGCTCAGATTCTCAGTCGACGTCGGCTCCGGTCCAGGAACAGAATTGGATGTAGTAGTAGTAGTAGTAGTAGTAGTATTAGTAGCATTTAGCGCTTGTACTACCTGCATTCGACAAGCGGCCCTCGCCGCTCTACGCTCCTCCAACAATGCCGCCGTCTTGTTCAAAGCAAACTGTGCTGTAGTAGTTTTACTCTTATGCTCACGTCGTGACCGTCGAACAGCGTTCATAGCATCCTCATACTCTGTGGTTTCTACCAGCCAAGAGTGGACCAGGCACTGCTGGACCGATGGCCGACTCACTGAATCGGACGCAGTCATGGCCTCCATGAGCTCAACACCACCCGGGGAGACATTACTTGCCATCCTCCCTTCACCGTCTTGTAGCATATGCTTCAAAACCTGTCCAGCCGACCAAACGTCGACCTTCTCGTTGTAGGACGACCCAGAGGATACACCTTGGTGCCTCGACAAGTACCGAGTCAAAGGAGACTGCTCATTCTGACCGTCCTCATGAAGAGCCTCGCCATTGCCACCGGCGAAGACCTCAGGTGCCATGTAACCACAAGTGCCAGTCGGCGTTATCATTCCGCTAGTAGAAGTAGCGCTAGACACTGCCGAACCCTCCTCACCACGAATACAAGGCTGGTCGGAAAACCCAATCGGTGTGGATTGGAATTGACTGGCGATGTTGAAATCTATAAGTACAATGAGAGACATTTCCAGCCTGCTGGGCTCCACCGCGACTATGTTCGATGGCTTCACATCTCGATGACAAATATGTTTACTACTATGTAGGTAAAACAAAGCGTTCAAGAGCTGCCTCAACACATTGCGACACGCCGCTTCAGAATATGGACCCGGTATCTCCTCTAGAGTTTTCCCAGGCACATATTCGAGAGCGAGATAGATCTTCTCACCCAAGTAGAGGTTCACCGGCCGTACAATATTACGATGATGTAGTGTTCGTAGCATGTCGAACTCACGCTCAGCAAAACACTCCATTTCGCCTTCGCCACTCCGCATGTACTCCTTAATGGCGACAGTAGTGGTAGGACCCGGCGCACGGCTAACGGCACGCCATACTGTACTGGAAGACCCTCGCCCGATTTGCTCAATAAAGTCATAGTCTTCGTGAACTTGGATTTCTTCCTCTTCCCGCTCCATGAGAACTTCGTAAGCACTCGAACAAGTGAGATTCAAGGCTTTCTGGGTTACACTTTCAGCCTTGCTCCCCAATTTGCCGCTTTTTCTATCAGATCCTCGCCCATGGGCAGAGTGACTCTTCAGAGGAATAGCCTCCGATAGTACATATCCATGAGAGTCCAGCATAGGCGACGACGGTGGTAGTGGTGCAGCCTGGACGTCCGGAAGCTGGATCTTGCGACGCTGTCCTAGTCCAGGCATTATAATGGTTGACAAGGATATGAGGGGATTACTATACAACCTGGAGAATACTACTCACAGTAGGGGTAGAAGAATTTCGAACTCCATCGCGTACGGCAGCGGGGCACGCGTACATAATTTCGTGGCGCGTGACAGAATCTCGTGGATGTTGAGTTTCAGCGGCGCTCTCTACTCGTCGTGCGATAATCTTCCAGCACTGACAACAAGGCGTCTATACAGCCTTTAATCATGGTCCGAGGTAGAAGAACATAACGCCCCTTTACTATTAGCGGTGAGCCGACCGGGCTGTGAAAGTCGAAGCGTTCGTGGAGAGAGTCGTGCGTCAAGGGCTGGATTAGAATGCGATTGTGGACTCCTTACTAGAGGATGAACGTAGTGTAGTGTCATTCACTTTCACCTTTGTCAAACTTGAAGTTCAAGTTTGACACGTTGCAAGAATATGTACTTGTCAGCCCTAGCCATTCTTACTGAGTATCATTCGGACTTACGCGCTCATGATGATACAGGCTGTATCATACAGCGATGCAACAGAACGTCCAGGAACGTCAGGGATTGAAATTAGATGAACGCTATCGTAATGATAAAACTGCTGCTTGGTTCGAGTGAGAGATCAGCTCCTTGAGAGGGCACGATACCACAGCGCTAGGTGAGTATACGTCCGCGTTCAGGCTGGTTCGCAGTACGTCAATTGAATGAGGCAACTCGAGTACCTTGTTGTCAGCACCGAGGACCTACAATCGCCTTGAGTAACAGCTATATACGAAACTTATTTTCGGCTTATGTTGAGGGCAAATGATGTTAGGCAGATAGATGTGGTTGCTATATCGTGTAAAACATAACGTTTTCTGCAGGTCCGAGGACGGTACAGTTTGCTAGGAGTCATGACAGGTCTCGTGCCTGGGTGCCATTTATTTATAGAATCGTTCATACCTAGAGGAGGCCGAGATCACAATCCGCGTCTCATCTTTTCTCATAGGATATGGGCCATATCATATGGCTATTGGGCTTCGTTGAGACTGTTGACTCGTGTTGATAGTTGCACCAGTTGGCTACGAGCAACACGCGTTGTTACGGCGAAGAGAGCTAGTGTAAGCAGAGAACGTCTCCGAGAATCCAAGGAGCGTTCAGCACCAGCTTAGCTGGTCCAGCTATGAGCCTCCAACAGTCTCGCCAAACCATTAGCCAATATTGGCTCAGAATTAGATCCGGAACGGCGCGGCGCTAAGATAGAGCTCTTCAGCCCTTTTGAAGCTGGGAGTGGCATGGACTGCTCATCAATATCGTATGGGTTTGTACAGAAGAGAATTGTCAGGGAGAAATGATAACTGTCGAGCTGACAGTGAGTTTGGCAGGGAGTTTTAGTCTACTGGTTTTGAGTCAAAACTTTTGACGCGTCTGTTGGCTTATGAACTCGTTCACAGTTTGTTGGTATTCCCACTTGAGCTCCGGGACAACACTGTGACGGAGAATGAGGGTATGTAGATTATTGGCGGAGCTCCTTCGAGGAGCACGAGTCTGCTGCATGTCGGGTCGGATCATGTGGCACACGGCTAGACATGGCACACATACGATGCAGTTACACAAAATTTGAATCCTATTGCGGTCAGTTCGAGGAAATTCTTTCATTTTCTGGACTCAACTGGAGGAGACACGTCCTTGCCCAGTCGATTGGAACACTTGGCCCAGTCCAATATTTTCTCGACCAGCAGTAGCCGCGCGAGGAAGAGCAGCGCTGTTTGATATATGGCGCGTTGTCAGCTCTTCCTCAAGCTCACATTAGCCTTCGTAGCGACCATAATCACCATAATATACTTTCCGTGAGTTCCTCCAGTGAGCTGAGCATTGTCGTCGCCTCGCATGAGATCGTACAGACCAGCCGATCGAACAGAGATCCAGCCTGCTGGTCGTCTTAAGTGGGGAAGTTGTCTGGAGACTCCAGACTGGAGTTACCCTGCTGGCCCCCCGCTCGAGTCTCCTACTAGTTATCGCCACCATTTTCTAGATGTCCAGTCAACTTCAGCCACTGGCCAGCATCTCAAATTTCGATCACAATGATATTTTTGTATTAAATGAAGATACAGTATGCGCCATGATGGCGCCGCCATCTAAAGAACCGGAACGGTTGTGCAGGGGTAACTTCTACAAAAAAGCGAGTTTGGGCTTGAAACTTTTTTTGTATATTACTGATATATATACGTATTGCTTGGGAGGGGACAGCACCCGATTTTCGAAAAAAAACGTGAAAGTTAAAGAAATTGTCTGGGATTCGAACCTGCGACGGTCGCAGTGCGATCTACCTTGCACTTTCATATATTCATGATATTACGACACGCTAGAAGATAACACACAACACGCGGTACGCTAGAAACAATGTCGAAACATAATACAAAGCAATCTGTCTTATAATTATGTCTTCTATTGTTAAATCAAGTCAAGAACCAACTGAATCGAATGTATACCATTTCAACACATAGGGGCGGAAATTTTCCGCCTCTATGTGTTGAGCTGTGGTCGTCGTCAGCTCTGACAGTCATGGCACAAGTAGGGTTGTATTGGTTGGAAAAGGTCGTTCGTAAAAAGGCCGAGCTTACGGTAATCATCGATCACGTCACTTGGTGACGTGACTTGGTGACGTGACTTGGTGACGTGACGTGACGTGACGTGGAGTGTTTATGGAACGGTACGTGATATGCGTGCCTCGGGTCGGGTTGACGTTGAATGGGATGATGAGCCCGGTACGATTGAGACTCTTGATCTTTGGGCCTGCCAACATAAGTCGGCGCTATGAGGCTTGCTTTTTATTACCTAGAATAATCAGTTCAAGTTTATAACCATTGAAATCTATAGTATGGTAAGTTTCGCACAGGTGACGCCACTGACTTGTGCATGCGTACGGATATTCTACGCTAGAACACAACATGCGGGCTCAGCACAATCAGTTCGTGTTAAGTACCGTCGGTACTGTACCGAGAATCTCTCCGTAGCCATCTTGGCTCGAGTTCGAGTTGTGTTGTGATAACCCTCGTTAATCCTATCATGGCGACCGTCTTGGACTCAATTTGGCACTCAGTTAACTATCTGTAACATGGAAGTTCTGCATCTCATTACCAGTCTGATCATCTGCGGTATGGGCGTCCGTGGTCATGTCGTCTACAGGCCGTGCATCGACGGGTTCCGACAATATGGAGAGTATATCATCAGAATTGAGTTCAAACTCAAAGGCAATGTTCTCCTCACCTATCAGGAAAATCCTCTTGGACCTGAGAAAGTTTACACATGCGTGTATCACTTCGACCCAAAAGAGAAGGAGATGGATGAGGGGTATGTTCCAGTTCTTTTCCTGGGTCCCGAGTGTCAAAGACTTGTGAAGGACTCCAAGGGCAGACTCAACGGAGATTCCCTAAAACCCTTTCTCACGTTCCCCAATCTCGACTACTTGTACATGAAGCTACCTTCAAGAAATTCTACGGCTCTGTATAAGAATAAAGGCGCTTGGCCATGCCCCGTTTAAGCTAATGTTTATCCTTATGAGTTGGTTCGGGAAGGACCGAGTGAGACTTCGATGCCGATGATGAGTCGCATTGCAGGATTTCACTCGGCCAGTCCCCTTGTACTCTTGGCTACAGCTCAGTAGCCATTCATGTGCTAACATGAAAACATTTTGACAGTTCTGATCATATTCCATATTGATGTGTCGAACCGATCGGCATACGATCTAATAAGGCTTCGCCATTTATCCATTAGCTCTTGTCTCACGTGTACTCACCATCAGACTTATTGCTAAATGGCTGGGGCTCACGAGTTTATGTCTGTGCCGTGTCGGGAATCTCATTCTGATCTGTGAAGGTTAGTGTGAAGTTCGCATCTCGAGAGCTGGGAATATTTTCCGGGAGAAGTTCGTGTATCTGGTTGTTCCCGCCCGGAGCTTTCAAGTATTTAACGTACTTGATCTTTGGTCTATTCCGTCATTATCTGATACGAATGCTTATCATAGCGAACGTAGCGATGTTGAGTTGCGCGAGACTCTGTCAACGATAGCCACTTAATTTCGGAACTAGCTGGCAGTGATGAGTCAACACCCCCCCCCCCCCTGATACTCCGTGTGGTGCTGATTTTAAAACTCAGACTTTGCCCTTCATTGCCGTATCTATATTCTAAAGTGAGACTCACTCTAGGCCTGAGCCTTTCGGACAGCTAGTCCGAAAGGCTAGCTGTCCGAAGTGGTTAGCTAGCTCCGCAGCTTCTGTTTAGAACAAGCCTTGAGACCACAACACATGACTTGACATAAGTTTACCAGTGCTTGTCGCTCGATTCTATCATCTAAGTTAGGGGGTTACCCTAATAGGGTAACCATACAAGCCTGCGTAATGTAGAGTAGGGCAAGGATTGCACTGCGAGCACTGGTCCTCGACGCGCTCGCATGCGAAGCTACTAAACATGAGGTATACTTTGCGTGCCGTAATCGATCTGCCCCAGGTATCAAGTAGAAATCTGAACCTCTGGGAGCTAATCTAATACGACGTCACACGTTCGGAGTTGCTCAGACTTGTACTGCTAATACATGCTGTAGTTGCCATCGCAAGCTGTTCTTGTTAGGTTAAGACTATTTACTGATTTGTCTCACATTCTATCATAAGCTCACCTGATTTAATTGCAAGCCTTGAATCAAGCAGGGTTGGTTATTGCGTGAAAAATACTCATACTTTTCATGAATGAAATAAACGGCTTGAATTGAACGAAAAAAACGGAAAAATTGAAAAAAATTTTAGCGCACGCGAATTTCTTTTTCAAGCGTGACTTAGTGGACAATCTCGGTAAATTTCATCAATTATGATTCGCTTGTGGATACAAATGACCTTCATAGATGATATTCATCTCTCAGTAGAATCTACTGAGAAGTGAATGTCATCTAAGATGCTGAATCAGCATCTGTGGATCGAACTCGACTAAAGCGAGTAACATGAAGGTATAGTAAGTACGAGCGGATGTTCTAAGAGAATTTCTTCCATACAAGGCAGTGTAAATGCATTATCTTCGGAAGCCTACAGTGTTTGGTTTTACGGCTCCGGAGTACGATTCATCTTGCTACGAACTTCGTAGTACTTCGTAGACAGTGTTTGGTCTTACGGCTTCGTAAGGCGGAGCCGTAGGACCAAACACTGCCTGAACATTTATCTGGTAAAAGAGAGATTTTCTTTCACCTCAATGAGGAGGCCACGTAAGAACGAACATCTCATTCACCAGTACTTCGTCGAAACCGGCTTTCGGAGAGATTGTGGAGGATCCGACGAGAGAAAGAAAAATTATCGATGTGTACTATGCGGTTGGGAGCAAGTCATCAACCCGACACGTTTCGTCGCTCATCTCAACACTGTACATGGTCAGGGTATTAAGGATCCTCGGCGTCTTAGTATAAACTCACTTCTGTACAATCCTGCACACCGTACTTCTGGAATACAGGCCGGATCCGAACCGAAGCGACTGAACGATGATGAGTCAGCTCTCCCTTCTCCTAAGAGGCCGAGAATCAGTATCGAGCAAAAAACTTCTCCCTTCTCCTATGAGTAGCTTTCAATCAGGCAATTCGAACATCTTTGATTCTGGCGGATAACTCTTCCTTTGATGGAGTGTTATCCGCTCAAATTGGGTCGATGGGGGAACAACCCGTTGGAGGCCCGTCAGCCTGGGCGACAATCCCATCCGCTTGAATTTACGTGTTTTTTTTGTATTTTTTCGCAATTTTTTGGCATTTTTTCGTTTTTTTCTATTTTTTCAGCTCCGTTTTTTTCATGCGAAAAAAAAGGAATGAAAAAAATGGAAAAAAACTCGCGCGCTGGAAATAACCAACCCTGGAATCAAGGCTTGCAATTAAATCAAGGCCCTTGATTCATCGATTATAAGTCAAAAACAGCATCTTGTGAAGTGTTCAGCTACGATCCGCCTGAGAAGCACAACAAATAACAACTTATGATTCGCAGCACATAAGTTCAACTAGGGCTAGCTACCCTGAGGGTGTGCCCGTAATTATGAGGTAGATTCTAATTCTTGAATGTTCTGAAGTTATTCTGAGATAGCGATGCTTGCGGGTGGTGCATAGTCCAAACTGAGGTCATCACACTATCACGACTCATAATTTACGAGCTGACGTGTTATTCTACGGTATTCAAGTAGGGAAGCACAGGTCGTTCGATGGCCAACCGTCGATTTTAGACGACCAGCGCCACAGCGACTTAGTTTCAGTAAGAGAGTTTCTCGGCGATTCCTCATCATAAACGTGTGTGTCAAACACAGTTTGATATAATTGATGCTTGTAGACCTCTTTTACGAGGTGACACTCACGTTAGGTTCGGACAGAGGGCTCGAGCAACTGAGACGGATTGTGTCATACTAACAGTGTTGGTTCAACACCGTGTTGGACCAACACTGTTGGCAACACGGATCGGAGTTTCAAAGGGTAAAACTGAGCGTGTCGTATACAATGTATGAACTCTGTAAACGAATCGTACCTCTGTAAATTCTGGGTGATGTAATCACGCAGGCGATGTGTAACTATAAAAGCTTAGCCCAGTTATACATTGTCTGCATGGACCATGCAGCATGGTAGCTAATTGAGCTAACGTCGTCCAGTGGAAGGCGTAAGCTATAAAGACAAGTCACGGAGTACGGCTCGAGTCAACTATAAAGGCCAGTTACGGAGGTCCGGCTCTGATTTTCTTGGGAATCAGATATAGATATACACCGGCCGATCACTCAGGAACGCCTCTGATGAATTTCGTCGTTGTCCTCAGCAGGGGGTCATCCAGCCATCGACGAGTCATGTTCCCCCAGGCCAGCCCGAGTTTTATGAATGTTTCTAACCGACATATCATTGTTCGATAATCTCGCGCGTCCCCAACTTGCGTGCGACGATTTACTGACACCTGCTTCTTGCCAGCAAGTTGTATTACACAACTTGTGAATCACTTGGAATGGGCCGGTTACGATGAGCCGGTCTTCATCAAGTTGCTCAGCAAACGATATGGGTCCCGAAAGCTCGTCAGACAAGCTCGGAACGGAAGTCGTGACGGAAGACTCTTCCGTCACTGCTGGAAATCCTGCAAATAGCCCAGCTGTTATTGGAAGCGAAGCTCTTGGTGAAGAGCCATGTTGACCATGGATGTTTGACCAATGGTGTTGTTGAGAAAAATAATTTTACTAAAAGTTACTCGATAAAAGGATTCAAAGCCCATTGACCGTCAATCGGCTTGAAATTTTCCCGCCGTCAGTTCGCTTGACGAACTTCGTCAATGACTGACGAATTTTATTGGCCCATGATGGGCGAGCGAGCTCCGCCCCTTCGTAACGAAGCCCTAGTCATCAGAGATAGTGGAGAACAGCCCGCCTTGGATCCAACCATTCACTGGTACAAAGTCCGAAGATTAGTTTCCAGAAACAGCATGAAATCGTGTTTTATCTCATGAGTTAGCCAAGCTCTCAAACTTACCCGGCGTTGGTAGATACATGTTCCGAAGCTCGGGATCCCACAGGCCTTTGATGGGGTACTCGTAACTAGAGTGGATGCGGGATGGCAGAAAAGCTCCAAAAAGGCGCTGGCTTTGTCACCCAATTTCGTCGGCCATTTTATGAATTTTATTACATTTTGTGAATAAGAAATATCTGGGTAGGAAAGTATCTGCCAGAAGCGGATCACCGATATATAGACCAACACAGGACACGTCAAATATCACAAGGATGGAGGCAGCGTTGAGAAATGGATTGCGATCACTTGATGAGCGGGTAGACGACTGCGATATTGACCTACTATGGAATGACTTCAAGGAGAGTTTGCGACAAAGCTACGAGTTGGCAAAAGAACGAGAAGTAGCCAACCGCTACGGAAGAACACCAGCCAGCGGCCGTGGGAGCAGAAGAGAATTACGAGCAGGGATTCATCAAGCAGTCGAAGAGATCAGGCACACCCCCATGCATGATCACCGATCAATATGGAGTCTTCTCCGTAAAAGATTGGGAGTTAAAGGTAGGAGTGATACCATACCGGGGATCCTACAAGCCGAGGACTTCGCAGCATACATGAGAGAGCTGTACACACCACCAGATTACAACAATCCGAGGGTACCAGCGAGAGAGACAGGGAGACCCGTTGGCTATCGGGATCCCGAGGAGGACCCTCAACCGGCACCGGCACCACCTTCCCCGAACGAGGTCTTCGAGGCTACAGCTAGGTTGAAGAAGGGCAAGGGCCCAGGTATCGATGGGATTAGCGGAGACCTTCTCAACCAAAGCCCAGTTTTGCAGCGATGGATCCATAAGATATGTGAGAAATGTTTCGTGGCAGAAAAGCAGCCAACTGAATGGCTAACGAGTAAAGTGACACTCATCAAGAAGGGCCGGAAAGCGGCAGACACAGTGATGTCCTATCGAACGGTGATGGCACAAGTAGCGGCGGCGAAAATTTACTCAGCGGTTATATTGGGAAGGATCAGAGACCAGTTGGATAAAAGGATTCACCAC